AATATATTCAGATCAAATTTCCTCTAATCTTAAAGTTAATAAAACTCCACTATCCATAGATACATCAGAAATAAGCAGAAGAAAAGAATGAAGAGAAGGGACAAAAAAAAAATAAAATAAAATAAAGAATAAAAAAATGACAATGAATAAAGAAAGTGAAGAAAAATATCAAAAGAGAAAAAAGAAATGAAAAGAGAAAAAAAAGAGAAGAAACGAAGGGAAAAAAAAGAACAAAGACAAAATAATGAAAAAGGGGTGAAAAAGAGAAGAAATGAAGAAAAAAAAGAATAGAAAAAAAATGAAAAAGGAAAGAAAAAGAGAAGAAACAAAAGAAAAAGAACAAAAACAAAGAAACAAAAAGGGAAAAAAAGAGAAGAAATGAAGGGAAAAAAGAAAAAGACAAACTGAAAAAAAGAAGAAACGATGAAAAAAAGAACAAAGACAAAGAAATGTAAAAGTGAAGAAAAAGAGAAGGAAGAAGGAAAAAGAACAAAGACAAAAAAAATGAAAAGAGAAGAAAAAGAGAAGAAACAAAGGAAAAAAGAACAAAAACAAAGAAACGTAAAAGAGAAGAAAAGAGAAGGAAGAAGGAAAAAAGAACAAAGACAAAAAAATGAAAAGGGAAGAAAAAGAGAAGAAACGAAGAAGAAAAGAACAAAGACAAAGAAATGAAAAAGGAAAAAAAAAAGAGAAGAAATGAAGGGAAAAAAGAACAAAGATAAAAAAACGAAAAGGGAAGAAAAGAGAAGACAAAGAAACGAAAAAAGGAGAAAAGAAAAGAAATGAAGGGAAAAAAGAACGAAGACTAAAAAATGAAAAAGGCAAGAAAAAGAGAAGTAATGATGGGAAAAAAGAACAAAGAAATGAAAAAAATGAAAGCGAAAAACATGAAAAGAGAAAAGAAAAACGAAGAAAAATAACGAAAAGGGGAAAATGAAAAAAAAACCAAAGAAAAAGAAACAAAAGGAATAAAGAGTAAAGGAGAAGAAAAACGTAAAGAAAAAATAATAATAAAATAAACCAGCAAAGAAAAAAAAATCGTTATTTTAAGACGAGATAAAAAAAAAAAAAATTACAAACCTGACAAAGCGAAGCGAAAAGCCTGTCGAAAAGCCTGTCGAAAAGCCGTGTAAAGCGAAAACAAAAAATCAATTACGCGATCTACTTATATGATCATCAATCTTAAATATGATTGGCTGATCATATAGGTTGCCATTGTATTTTTGCCTTTTATTTATTTTATAATGTAATTATCAAGAAAATTCTTAGACGTTTTATTTAACATTAAGGTGTATTTCATTTAATTTTTTTTTTAGCTTATTTATGCATCTATCTCTCTTTTAGATAACTAATTTTAATTATCATAAATTCTTGAAATAACAGGCATAGACATTATTTTAAAAATCATGTCTTCTAAAAACTATAATGATTTCAAAATAATACCCATACACATCCTTACATTAAAATGTATAGCTTAATAGAATTACTTGAAATAGCATGAAAGATACTCAATATTTTAAGAATTTGTGGTATTTTCTTGTTTTTGGTTAATTGCTATATATGTTATATGTCACTTCACAATTCCTGTTAGTTTCAAAATGATATACCTTAGTTTAAAATTGCAATTTAACATATACCGAATAATAATCGGTATAGCAACATACCGACTACGTATAGACTTAGCTTATATAAAATATTAAAAAAAAAAAATTA